ATGTGTGTGTGTGTGGGTGTGTGTGTAACGCCTTGAGCACTACTGCAGCTGTCTCTTATACACATCTAGATGTGTATAAGAGACAGGAATTGATTTTTGACTTGAGCATGATTTTTTTTTTTTTGGGTGGGGCATATTTGGCGAGTGTGAATATGGGGTTCGGGAGTGCGCCGCCGAATCCCTAGATACGCCACTTCCTAGACATTCCATGCATCTGGCCTCCTTTTGCTGAACCTCTCTCTGAGAGACTCTGCCATGGAATGTGACTAACTCATGGTACACGGTTTTACAGTCACAATGACCATTGAGAAACTCATATCACAAATTATATTCAATAAATTGCAAATTCCAGGGGCGGATTTAGGGGGGCCCTTTTAGAAAGTAAAAAAAAAAAAAAAAAAAAAAAAAATTGATCTCCCAAAACGCCTCAGAGGTTATTTTCAAACAAAACAAAAATTTCGCGGGGCCATGCCCCTGAACCCCCTAGGGTGGTGTTATCTCTATCGGTCCCCTTTTTGGACATCTCTCTATCCGCCCTTTAATTCAGCATGAAAAAGTACACCTTGCTGATTTTGCTCATGGACGCTACGATATTGAAAGGATCATTACCGGTAATGCACATAATTAATTTGTGCTAAACAGCATTCATAAAAGATAATCGGATATTGCGTAAACGGAAAACACTATGCAACGGACGTATTATCATAATATTGATAAACATTTATTAATTAATAGTATAGCCTATTTTAATAGTCTCAATTCACCCGGAATAGCAAAGCTCGAGCATGACTCATGTGCGCGGTAAGATATACATAAGCTTACGTTAATTAGCTGTCGTTCAGATCGGTTTATAATCCAAATCCAATAGTGTAAATTCCATGTCTTGTGTTTCTTTAAGGAGTACACTTCCGTGTGTGTTCTGTGGTGGAGTGAAGGACACGAGGGAAGCCTCTAGGGGTGGTGGAATCAAGTCATATAGTTGCCTGAAAGTACCGTATATTTTTATTGCAGTGTAGTATATTGGAATTTGCACAAAAAAGACTCCGGGAAAAATGGCCTCGGAAAATTTACTTTGGTCAAAATTGCTATAGGCCTAATAAATGAAATTGACCCGCGTGTTTTGTTTTGTTTGCATAGGCCTATGCAAGTAAGCCTTGTGAAATAGTTTTGATCAACAATATCCTATTACTTATAGTATACCATACCCCATATAGCATAAGTTTACTAAAGTTATTCAGATTCTTCTTAAAACAAAGTGGTACTGAGTATCGTTTTAGTTACAGCATGAATTGTCTCAATACAGTAATTTCAAACCTCAGATTGCTGAATAAATTGTCCGCTCTCATTATGCCGAAATTCACGAGGGAAGGGAGGCACACGCCCACCAAAAAAGCTCACCATTCAGTCAGTACCCCCCACCCCCACTAGAAATTTTAGAAAGTAGTTAAAAATTACCTTAATTTGCCAACTAGCTCCCTTCACTTAATAATCAAGTCATTTAAAAACAATTAAAAAAGTAAATAAAAAGAGGAACATAAAATAACAAAATGTGAATATTATTCCCCTCCTTATCAATACTCTTATATACGTCAGTACTCTAACCACACCCTATTACCTTACTTTTAATGCTCACAATTGGTTGTTTTAATATCTGTTTATGTGTAAAATAGCAATAGGCCTATAGTAAAATATCACATAGGCCTAGTAAACTAAAGTTATATGTAGTATAAAATCTCTTAGAATACAGAAGAGTGGATTCCGGTCTGTCTTGACAAAAGAAAATCCAGGGGAGAGTTCTGAGACGCTTCAGTGCTGTCACCGTACCCCTTGTTCGTTTACCCCTTGTTCGTTTATCTCAATGTTATTAAAGCTGTCTATCAGAAGAAAAATAGTACAGGTAATACAATTACAGGCCTATAGGCTAGTCACAACCCTAACACTGTGACCTCGTGGAATACAGATGAACGTATTTCAGGGCCTGTTTTTACGCTAAATGTTCGGTGCCCCTCCCGGACCAAGCTCTTTTTTCACCTTCTATCTAGCACCCATCACTTTGTCCTACCATTCTGAGAAATTTGTTACCCTTCGAAAATTATGGATCTCCCCTGTCCCTAAACAATGGATGTATAATAATCCATAACTATTAGGCCAAGGATTAAGAAATAGAACGAAACTGGCTTGTAAGTCTATTATAAAACACCATGTGCTCCATGAAGTCCAATTTGGTTGTAATCAATAGCTTTTAAGATTCTGATTATGACAACGATAGACCCGATTAATCTTTACCACTGAACTATTTTACAATCATGTAACTGACTTCCGAAGCGGTGTGGAGCCATTGACTACTGTACATTGTTTTAAATTAAGAACCTATTATTAATAAGCCTATTACTATTATTGACATTACGTACTTACTTGTAATCGACCAAGAATGCTTCTGGTAAATTTTTCAAATACTTTCATATCGCAATTGACTAAACCAATATTAATATATAGGCCTAATACGAATGGATCTGTGGTCACTGTTCCCCTCTCTTTATATTAACTATATTCTTTAAAAAAATTAAAAAAAACAAAACAAAAAAAAACAAAAAACGAAACACTTTAACATTCAGAAACAAGAGTCAATTGTTCCCTCAAATAACAAGTCATTTTTTTTTTCTTTTTTCCTTTCCCCTTTTCATTAACTATAAATTTATAACGAAATTTATAACGTTGGTCTGTCAGACTGAATGAATTTATGCACGTATTTTCCCCACCATGAGTTTTTTTTTTTTACCTTTGAATGAAAATGATTTATTTGACCATGAATACCATATCACGAGTGTATTTACGTTTGAATGGATTCCAATGAACGCAAGCCAACTGAATCATGTGATAATTATGATGTTAATACCAACGATATGATATTTGATATAGACAACTTTAAAGCATCAAACATTATAGTTAATGTACTTTATAGATTAAATTTTTTTATCAGTCTTACTGTCGTTTGATGTAGTTATCTTTGTTAATATATTAACAAGGAGTATTTTATTATGTTTGTATTTTTAGTGTTATGGCTATATTTTTAGTAACTTTACGCATGTATTTTTGTCTAAATCGTTTACCATCTGAATTTTTGATAATGATGATAACGATAACGATAATAAAACTTTATTCATTGTCTTTTTGTACATTTTAAATTATAAATTGTATACTTTTATTATTCAGCTTTAACTGTAAGTTTGAATTTTAAAATAGGACTAAATGATTTGACTCCTTCATCATTATCCATACCTATCTTTTCCTCTATCACTACCGGTTTAAGTGCGACAATTGGTATATAGGCCTATTTCATTTTATTTCATATATTTATCCCAACAATATAAAGAATTAAGAACAGAAACAACGGAACAAGCACAGAACACGACACAGAACATTCCAAAAGTGAACTAAATCACTACTGATGAGCCCTCTCACAAAAACACAAATGCTTGCAATATGAAATTTTGCTTGTAGATAAAACGTTTAGATTAAAAAAAAAAAGCTGTACTAAAACAAGCATATTTACAAAAGTTGGCTTTTAAAATATTCTGATGATGTAATAAAATTCACTTTATAAAATTCAAATTTAAAATGTTGAAATATATTGTAGCTATTCATCGCCATTGTTAGGTCGGTTGAAAGAGAATTTATGTAAGGTTTCTTAATAAAACGGCCAGATTCAGTGCATATAGCGGTTGCAGAGGTCTGGTCTTGACAGCGAGAGGTCACAGTTCGAAGCCCGTTAGAGGCATTTTTGTTAAACATTTTCTTTATTTATAGGACAATATTCCTTTAGAATAACCGCCAGATACACGATGTATTATCATGTATTTTATTCGAACACTGTATTTACCTTTCTTTGATGATTTATATGTAGGCCTAATTTTACAGTGTTAACGGCTATCTTAATTTATATTATACTGTATGCAACTATTTATTTCTAGCTGTACCTATTGTGTAATAGAGTGTATCTGGCGGTTACTTGAATCTGTTCAACCATGAAGAATCGGTGGTCTAATGGTTATGACGCTCACTTCGACAGCGAGAGGTCGCAGATCGAATCCCGTTAGAGGCATTTTATTACACAATTAATTATAGGCCAACATTTGTTGAGAGCTATGCTACACGATGTAGTATTATGTCCTTTATTCGAACACTGTATTTATATATAATTTTTCGAACACTGTATTTATATATAATTTTTCGAACACTGTATTTATATATAATTTAACAGTGTTAAAGTCTATCTTGATTTATATATAGAAGTAAAGTAGTACCGTAGATTTTATTTTATATAAATATAATATGAAATATAACACAAATACTGTATAAACCAAATAGATAATACAGTGCTATAGGAACGTGATGTTATAAATTGTATCAAACATAGTTCCTTAATATGAATGGATTCTAGTGGATTCATGCCAATTGATCATGTGATAATTATGGTGACTTACAAAATACAGGCCTACATTCGAAAAGTTATGTTAGTGATCGTTCATCATCTTTTCATCGTCACACCGTTCATATCTTCCCACACCAATTTAGTCAGCTTAGTTTTAATTGGTTTTAAGTGTGCCAAGTGCATAGTTTTGTGTGTGTGTTCTATATTTTCCGCATGTAAATATTCTTGTAACTGTTAGTGTGTTTCTCTACTTGCCAAGCATCAATTACAGGCGTACTGTTAATAGTACGTACCTATTCTAATCATCACGACGTTCTGATCTCTAAAGGCATGATTTTTCTTCTGACGAAAGAGCTTCACCTTCACACCAATAGAACAAAATAACGACAAAAGTATATATATTTCATTTTTTTAATGTATTCCTTACAGATCCTTACATAATATTTAATCTCGACTTTTTCTTAATTAAATGAACACAATAGTTTATATAAATTATGGTATTATACAATAAACAATTTGATAAATAATATATATTATAATTAAATACGTATCAATACCCATTTATATTATTTCGTAGGTATTTACCCCAGTAAAAACTAGCAAAATATAACTTTTGATAAATATGAAAGTGAAGGTAACATTTAAAGAAGGACCTATGACTTCGATCCTATTAAATATGAAATCAAATGGTGAAAGTTGTATATTTTAAATGTACCAAACGACATACGCAAAGCTTTCATAAATATGAAAGTGAAGGTAAAATTTAAAGATAGACTTATGACTTCGATCCTATTAAATATGAAATTAAATGGTGAAAGTTGGTATATTGGAAATGTCCCAAACGTCATACGCAAAGCATCATTGAATTGTTGCTATAAAATTTATAAGTTAACTTTTTACACATTATCAAGGCAAGTGCTAATTTTTGTATTCCAAATAATAATATAATAATAATGATAATAATAATATTATAATGATAATTATTTAATAATAATATTTATTATTATTATTAATTATTATAATATTATATAATACCAGGATAAGGTATTTTATGAAAAATTAATAATCAGAACTCTATTAAAATGAAATTAAACCCCAATTTGATAATTTTATTGCATTAAATTATGTGCCCCATTTTTGCTAGAACCTAACCTAAACCTAGAAAGACAATCCTGGAATGTTTATATATAAGTTGCTTAGGCTAATTTTGGTTTGCTGTATGTTTTCAGTCCAAAATAGGCTTATTAAAAGCAGCTCGCAACTGCAACTACGTGGAAAGCGCGAAAGATTTTCAAAAATTCTTGCACTGTTTGTTTGGCGAATTGAAAGCTTCCCAGGTTGATCAGCCTCGAAAACTGAATCGCCTTCGTTTATGGACAAATTCGTTCTCTGAGCTATGTTCGCATGCAACACTAAAACGTCGCTGCGTCAAGGCGTCGGATGCAACTGAACTACTACAAAATAATTCTAAACTATTATTGCTTCTATGTATATAGCTAGATAAAAATACGTTTTCCTCAGAAAGAGTTTTTTCTTTCTCAGTGTTTTTCAGTATATTTGATTTATTAACTGTTGAATTGTGTAGTTCAAATACAGATGATTCAAGGTTTGAGCAGTTCTTGCAAATATCGACCGGGGCGCGAGCCGCCTCGTATTCACAATAACCGTCATCAGAGCCAGACGAACATATGCTTTCTTCCGAGTCTTCTCCTGAACTTTCCACACCGCTGTCATATTCGCTTGATATCGGCGTTTCGTACGATTTGACGTCAGTTTCTGGGGCTGGCGTGGATGTGGATTTTGATGACTCTAATTTATGTACGTATTGAAGTGGTCCCTCGCCTTCAAACGTACTGGGGTGGCGGTAAGAACCACAAAGCCGGTCCCATACGGTGAAGAATTGTCCGTAATTGTAATTGAAGTACATGTGATGGTCAGTGTGGTGTGCTGGACCGTTGATGACTGATTTCATCCATTCCGGCATTTCGAATTCGCCGTCGTGGATACTGACAGCCCAAATGTTAGCAAGAACGAGAAACGTGATGAAAAGATATTTATTGACCGGAAAAATGATGACGCACACGTGGTACGGCATTTGCTGCAGGAAGCCATCTACAGGATGGAAGGCGTGACTGGCAAATGGTGTTGCCACTTTCCATTTGTGGTGATCCTTATGAAGGTATTTGTAGACCAGCTTGTGATGCATGGCGCGGTGAAATGTATAGCTCAAGAAATCTACTACTATGATCATGGAAATCAGTTCCGGAATAGCGGTGAAATACCCTGTGAAAAAATCCAAACATAAAAATATAATCCAACGTTCAAATTACAATTTAACAAAAGTGTGATACAACATTGAATACGGTACGTTATTTAAACGTTACCGTACCATTTATATATTTATAGAATTTGTGAAACAGGCCAAACAGAAATGTACTACTTGGCTTAAATGATAAAATTTAAATAGTACTGTATATAGCAAAGTTGAATGCAGAATATAATTGTGGAGTATCCTTAACTTACCGAAACATGCATCGTCGTAGTTTTCTCTAAGACGCGTTCTCCCAGTTACTTCAAGATAATACATCGGAGTGGACATAATGAACATAAGCGGCATGGCGTAGCTAGATTGCCAAAACTCTTGACGAAGCTGGTTCTAAAACAAATTTAAAATATTTTAATCAGTGCCTGGTGAAAAACTATAGCAGTATTAATGCATAGTTCAGAAGACCAACTTAATGACGTTTAAGTAAAAAAGATGGACAATTCGACGATACCAAGTAGAAGAAGGAACGAAGTGGGCCGAAGGAACGAAGTGGGCCCAAGGAAATAGTGACACGTGTCTTATACATCATCATCCTCATCATCACCATCACATGCTTGTTCATAGCAACAATTGCATACAACTTTAGATTTACGACCTCCAAATATAAATAGACCTACATAATATTATAGTTAAAATAAGTTAGGTTGAAATTGCAAAAACAGGTATGTACCTTTTGGAAATGAGGATGCTTCATCATGTCGTGATCGAAAATGAAGAAATAGCTTGGCACTGCCACCAGAAGATACGATATAAATCCCATTGACCACGTAATGAGGAACAAACTTAAACATTTTCTTAGAGAATTGTCTTCATCCCAAGACGCCGGGTAGACGTACGGAGTGAACAGATATTCGTCTGCGTACTCTAGAATTACATCCATGATGGAGCCTACAGGTATAAGAAATAAGTTTGAATAAACACATTTAGAGATATAAATAAATAAACAATTATTTTTCATTGTATATAGACC